AGTTGGAGAGACCTGTGCTGCCTCTGTTCAGGGTACATGCCGAAAGATAAAAAGAGGCTGAAATCTCTAGCTCTGTTGTAAATCTCAGTTTAGCTGCTGCTGTTCTGATGAGAAAGATAATGGTGGGAGTTTGGAGCCTTGTTATCAAAGTGGCAAACATAGCATGGTTGTGGCTAGGGATCTCTTCCACGTTCCTTGTAATTGCATTGCTCCCTTTCCCCCCACACTAAGCCAAAGTTGGGGAAAGAATTAGTGGCCTCAGCAGCATGTATAGAGTGAAGCGAGTTGATATTTCATTCATAGTAAAGTTAGTGTCTCTTCTTTCCATTTTATCTTCCAGCAGCATAGTAACCAATCAGATGTCACACCTATGAAGGTGCAATAAACAATGAACCCAGTCAATATTATAATCCGTCCAGCCAGTGAAATGATCAATTAATGTACTATGGTTATGATCCTGCACTTGCTTACCTGGAAGCAAGCTCCATTGGACTCTGTGTGAAACTTATTTCCAAGTAGACATGCCTAGGGTTGCACTATTAAAAGAGGAGAATTAAAATGCTGAGCGACATTAAGTTAAGACAAGATATCCAACTAGTGCTGTGAAACCATGAGTCAGTCCATTAATTCATTTCGCAACCAGTATAGCAATCAGTTAGTTGAAAAGTCAGTTGTTCATAAAATAAACATCAGAAAGTTGTCAGTTCAGGGTTAAGTGCTTCTAAAACCATTAAAACGCTGATCTAGAAAGACTTCAGTTTACACACCTGCCTAGTTCTCCATCTCACAGTCTGTGTTGGTCTGGTCTCCTTCCTTATGGTCTTCTGTTTTGGAATGGCTCAGATCCCATGTGTGTTTATTAACACACACGAGTATGCATGTGGTTGCATGCAGTGGCACTGCTGCTACAAGCAGTTGCAAAGCATTAAATAAGTCCAGAGTAAGTTGACAACAGACCTGGATGAGTTTTGCCAAACCTGCCTCCTTCTTACCCCTCTCAAAGAGGAAAGGGGAATGAGATGCGGCAAATAACAAGCAATTCATCTAAGCTGTTGAAGAATCACAGCAAGCCCAGAGTCTGTATCCTTGCACACAATTCTTGAACTGTGGCTTTCTAGCCATGTTATTTTGCTTTTCTCAGTGTCACATCAAAAATAAGATTTGTTTGGGCATGTAAGAGAGACTATCTGGTAACTCTATAAAGGTAGCTTCCTTTTTTAAAGAAATAAAACAGAAGTGGACCTATTGGTAGTACTCTGAATTGACTTTTAAGATGTTGAATTCTAAAAGCAAGGGGGCAAAATGTCCACAGGGAAAATATTGAATTGCAAAAGTTTGTAGAGCATTAACAGGCAAAATTATTTTCTCCCAAGCGGTGGGCATGCAGTTTGCATCCATGGAAACAATGATTAAGTCAGCACAGGACCTGGACATCCTGAGTCAATTAAAACACTTCCCCTCTGAAAAGAAGCGTTCCTTTGATCCATTGTGATGTCAGATCCCACGTGGGGGAGAGCCAGTCAAAAACAATGAAGTTTTCTAGTTAAGGATCAGTTAATGAATTATGCATACAAAATATAGGGAGGCAAGTATGAGGAAAAAGAGATTTCTTGAACTGTGCTTAGCCAAATTGCCTGCACCCCCCAGTTTATTTGTACAGTCATACCTCGGGTTGAAGTTGCTTCAGGTTGAGGACTTTCAGGTTGCGCTCCAGGTTTTGCCGTTCGCGCATGCACAGATGGTCAAAATGACGTCACGTGCATGCGCGGAAGCGGCAAATCGTGAGGCGCACGGACACGGGTTGCGTTTCCTTCAGGATGCGAATGGGGCTCTGGAACGGATCCCGTTCGTATCCAGAGGTACCACTGTATAGCTCTTTCTCAGAATGGCAGGTGGGTCATGGGTGGCCAACCTTTGGCATGCATCAAGGCATTTGAAGCACACCTGAACCAAGGGTAAGAGGGCTTGCAGGCATAGCTATGGCACGGAATCAGCCCCTTAGCTTGCCTGCCGCTCCCATGCTGTGCTGCTGCTGCCTGCAATAGCCCAGACTGGAAGCAAAACTTCATTGTGGGTTTAAGAACTAGTTAGCTATGGCAGCCCACAATCTATTGCTCTGGAATTGACACTGGTCACCTTTGGGTGCAGTTATTTCAATGTTTAATGGGCAGTCTAATCTGGAAACCCATCACCTTTTTGAACCAATAAGTAGTTGACAGACAATGTCTAATAATACTTTTGCTAGTCTAAAAGGCTGAAGAATTGCTGAGTTGCACAGCAACATTTGTATCTTCATCACACCAGAAACACCACTATCTGTGTCTATAAAACTGGGCCCTCTGTCTTATCCTAGCATGCACAGGTGAGTGGAGAATGAGACCATCAATGCCATAAGTGGTATGCTAGGCTTTCATGGGGATTTAGTTTTGTGCCTCATTTTCCACAACTGTGAATCAGGTGTGTGTGTGCGCACGTGCACAAGTGAGAGGCAGTGCTGGAATTTAAATAAATTATTTGTGAATTGCTTATAATGCCACATTAGTGTAGTGCCTGGGGGGGAGGGAATGAGGGGAAGGGTCCCCACAAATACAGCTGTTTGCCCTTCTGGAGTCGGAGGCCTTACTTGCAGGGCACCCACAGGCTTGTCTTAATTTCATGTAAGTGGGATGGAGTGAAAGCCAAAATGGAGATGGACGGATGAGTGGAGAAAGCCTTCTGCAATCCGTCCCTTTCCCAACAGCAGTGAGCGAAGGTGTGACCACACCCACTTTTGGTTTGAGCTCGGTCACTGACTGGCTTCAATCCCCCACCTCTGAAGGAATGCAGCCCTCAACAGGGCTAGGTGAAGGTTCCCGATTCTTGGTCTGTCTATTCCTTTTTAAAAATATGCCCAGCTTTTGACTGCACCTGGATATATATTTTTAATATATGTGGCCATGTGATAATTTTAGCTTATAAATTTTATTGTTTAATGTCTTAATTTGTATATTAAGGTACTTTTATAGCTCTGTTTAGAGTAGGTAGTGTCTTGATAACATAAACGTTTTACGATTTTTGTATCAATCTAGTATATTTTCTTTTAATTGTTGAATGATTCTGTGTACATTGTGGCAGCCTTTGGCTATGTGCAATAAAACTGACTGACTGACTGGATCTCCAAGTGGCTTACAAAATTCAAAACATACCACATGGAAGGCTTAAAATTAAATGAAACATCGCGGAACATCAGTGCTATTGCTCTAGAAAAAGAGGTGCCGGGACTCACCATGAACACCTCCCTCGTTCTCTTAGAATGGCAATGGCGCCCACCTGAGAGGTGCCAGAACTGAGTTCTGGCGAGATCCAGCTGGGGGGGGGGAAAGCCCCGCAGAACAGAATTCATGGTGCAAAGGCCTCCTGGAATAAAACCATTTTAACCTGAAATTTGTCAGGGACTGTGTCTGCCTGATTTCTAGTGGGGAGGGAGTTCCATAGAATTGGACCCACTACTCCGAAGGCATGACTCCTCAACTAAGTCGAGCGGCACCGTGCTGATTTGGTTGCAAAGAGTACACCAGCACTTGAGTGGTTTGTGGAGCTATTTGGGTCCCCCAGTAAGAGAGACCAAGGCCTCTGGGGCCTGCTTTTTTGTTTGTTTGTTTTAAAGGCGTGCCAGGAACTACAGATATCAAGGGATGTGCATTGAGCCAGCTGGCTTTTATAAGGGCATTGTTACTCCGGTATAGGGTATCATCCTCCTCTGTCCCTCTCACGTGGTGCTGCTTGACCCTGTAGAGCACCTGGCCTTGTCTGTCCAAGACTGGGATTGTGTGTTGGGGTGGGGAGGGAAAGGAGTGGGTGAGGGGCTGTTGTGTGTCTTTATTTCAAAGAGTGAAGCCTCTTCTCAGAGCGGACATCCTGTGGCTGTCGTGAAAGGAATACAGGGCATTGGCATCGCCAGGGCAGCCACAGTTGCTCCAGCTTTCTTTTTTAAAGAAAAAAATAAATATATTATTATTTAGAGATCTTCTAAGTTAGCTGCAAGGGCATTTCAGGAAGCCTCAGCCACCACCATCTGGTCCATTAAAATAAATCTGGCGTGCTTCCCCGCCCCATTCCCCCCCCTCACCCCCACCATGTTCAGAGGGGAGGGGATGAGGGAAAAAGAGAGCTCCCAGCTGCTCTGACGTTTGAATTTAGATTGGCCACAGCTGGCCTGTAAAATGTGGAGCAAAAGCTCTTCTGCTTCAAATTAGGAGGAGGAGGAGGAGGAGGAGGTGGCGGTTGGGAAGTTCTCTCTTAAAAGGCCAGCACCACTTAAAATATCCCTTGGGTTTGGGTGTCCTGTGTAGTGCCACAAAATGAAACCCAAAACTCTGGGAGGGGTGTGTGTGCGTGTGCGTGCTCCATATCATAGCCAATTCCTTGATAGGTCACAATATTTTGATTTATTTTCCATTGGGATCATGGCCAAAGGACCCTTGTAAGGTTCTGGAGTGAAGCACACATGTGAGAACTTGGGATTGGGAAAGAAGCGTGCCCGGTTCCCAGCACAGCCCTCAGCAGTGGCCTCTTGGGCCTCTCCCAGCATAGTGGGAGGAAATTCTGTAGCTGACACAATGGGAGCGGTGCCTTCCCTGCTAGGTTTCTGGGTGTCCCGTGTTTGTGCCCTGCTTTCTGTGCTCACGCCATTAAATTTCGTGTTCCTTTGCCATCCACGTGGTGTGCTGTTGTAGGTGCCTTGTTCAGTGTATAAACAGCCAGGGCTGGGGGCGCTGCCTTTCTGGCTAACCTCCTTCATTCGGACAACTGTTGTGTTAGTGCCACCTTCTGGTAAAATGTCGTTGAGCTAGGCCTCGTGCTCCGGTTATTTTGTGGTTCTTGGATTCTCAGAGTTAAGAGTTCCAGAAGTGGTTCTGACTTCTCCAAGGGGACGGCCTTTATTCAGCAGGTAGTCGGAGAAAGAAGGCAAAGCTCCAGCTCTCTCGTCATGTCATTTATATATTCATTTATCCCCTTAGGTCGCAATGAATTGATAGCAAGGTACATCAAGTTACGGACGGGGAAAACAAGGACAAGGAAACAGGTAAAAATGTACCTAGCTCTTGCCCTTTCCTTAAATAAAAAATCAACCTTGCAATAGGATGACTGAAGGAGGAAGTGGCCTCGTGAAATCACCCACGTGTGTGTGTGTGTGTGTGTGTGTGTGTGTGTGTGCCTGCTCCATTGCCATAATTCAGTGTACCACTCAGAAGTGTGATGAGGCATCAGAGCTAGTCATAAATATGTTGGAGATGTCTGGGACATCAAAGTTCTTTTTCTAGCTCCAGTCTGTTGGCTCCCGTTGAGATCCCTGTTTCACTTTCTTTTTTTCCTAACATAGGTGATAGTTGCCTTAAAAGTTAGAGAATTGACCTTGGCTTCAATATTTTGGGATCTTTGGTAGGAAGTTACTGAATAAAGCCAAGGGGTGTGTAATGGCAACTGTAACTCGCAGGTGCCTTGATGCATCGCAAGCACACACACTCTCTCTCTCTCTCTCTCTCTCTCTCACTCACTCTCTCTTGCAAGCACTTATAATTGGTGAAGGCTTTAATTTTGGGCACAGCCACTGCTGGCATACAGTTCTTGAAAGGTTGGTCAAGAGCAAATGCAACCCTGGAACACCCTGTATTCTCCATCCTCCATTTGCGCATGATCACAATTTGACCTGAACCCCCCAAAGAGAGGTAGATCACTGCCAGTTTTTTTATTCTGTGAGTAGATCGCAGTCTCTTGGGAGTTGGACGTCCCTGGTCTAAAGTATTTCTTCTTTAACCACAGGACAAAACTTGGCTATAGAATGTGGTTAAGAATGGTAGACCTTAACCATGACCCCAGGTTTGGACAACACTTTTAAGACCTCAAAAGCCTGGAGAGGAGCAAAGTGAATGCGATCCGCTTGCCAGGAACCAGCATGTTTGCACATTCGCGCTAAGCTGTTGTTTGGCTTAGTGTGATGTGCAAACGTAGTTTAAGACTTTGCCTGGAACCTGAAAGAATCCTCATGAAGGCAATCCTTTTTTTGTAGCAATGGCAGATGTCCCTCTTTTTTGTAATAGTCAACACATTCCTGCTCTGCAATCCATTAAATGGTTGAAGAATTTGTAACCTCAGAATTCATGGAGCAGTTGATGGTGTGTCAGACCAAAGGCTTACCCGTAACCTCTTTCCAAAAGACATGGGAAACACACTCTCGTGTAACTCTAGGACTGCCTCCTGGTGGGACGTACCCTGTATGCTGGCTTGTTCTTAAATACCCAGATGAACAATTGGCACAGAACCAAAGGCATGGCCAAAGAGTTATTTCTTGTATCTTGGCCTCCCCACAAACATGTAAGAGAAGCTCAGGGTTCTTAGACTTCAATGGTGGGCAAGCGTAGAATTCCTTCTGGAACTCCTAGTTCTCATTAGCTACTTGTAGTGTATTATGTTATCAAATCAAACTTGGAAAGGACCCAAAGACTTGGAAAGGACCCCGAGAGTCATCTAGTCCAACCCCCTGCAATGCAGGAATCTCAACACGCTGCCCCCCATCCAGTTTGATACCATACCAGATCTTGCTTAGCTTAGCCAATGTGCTAGCAGTTTGATTGCTGCACCACTTTGTATGTCATTGTTGGGAGGGCTGAAACCTTATAAAATCCATCAGTTAAGATATCACCAGCTCCCCTTTATTTGTTTCTGGATTGTTTCCTTCATTAGGGCAAAGTTGGAAATATCGGGTCCATGTTTGTGCTGATTTTACCAGGCAGTAGTTATGATTGGATGGAAGCAGATCTTATGGAGCTTAGAGGAGCTATGCATTATATGTATCTATTATACAGTCATTCTTGCCTCTGCTTCAAGGTTTGCAGTCCTAACACTTTCTGGTGAATCTAGGGAAGCCTTTGCCAAGTGCCCTCCAGATGTTTTGGACTAAAACTCCTGGCAGCCCTAGCCAGTAGCCCAAAATATCTGGATGACACATGGTTTGTGAAGGCTGCCCCTAGCTCAGACTTGCTAGTAGCACACTCTAAGAAATGTTTTTGCAAATGAGAGTTGTCCTTTTCAATGGCAAAACATGGATAGCGTCCATTGTGAAAGAAAGTAGACTTAACTTGTCTTTTTTCTATTGTTTGACTCACTGCATGTGACTAGTAATGCTAAATCATTGGACCAGTGCTCTGATATAAAACTAAATCCACCCAAAGGCAATTAAAGCAGACAACAGCCTACACAGCAAGGAAACACCAGTCTCCATTGGTTGTCTCTAACATAGACAAATAGTTGGTGTAGTCTTGGGTCTTCTCATATAGTCTTCAGATTTGTCAAATCTCCTTTCTGTGGAGCATATGCAAGAAACTGGGTTTCTACCCGAAATGTTCATACAGCTCTCAGAGCCATGGTCACATGTCCAATAGACAATTTCTGCTCTCAAAGCCTTGGATGCATAAAAACACTGCCATATATTATCGCTTAGTGGTCAGTGGTAAAAAGTGTCTGTGTAAGGCGGTGGCATGTTGTTCTAGAGGGATCACAATAGGTAAACTTGTGGTTCTGTTTGCTTAATTTAATGGCAATACTGAGGTTCATTTCAAGCTTGTTTGAGTCCCTTGATGTTTAACGTTTTCAAAGGCAGGAGAAGATATGATTAAATCTTCTGTGAAAAGCTGTTGATGATTATAATTACACTCTAACACTTACTTACCTCTGTCTTGCTCTCTGAATGAAGAGCTGAAAAATATTTAAGAACCAAGGGACTGTGCACTTAGGTTTTTGAGACCCTGATTGGAAACTCTTTTCAATGCTTGATATCCTGGGTTGTGTATCAATTCATTTAGGAGAACTGAAGAAGTGCATCTGGATTTACATGGCTGTGGAGAGGAGTCATGTGGGTACAGATCTGGATCAGCAAAACATTATGTTGGGAATGGCTCATAGACTGAAGCATGAGTGGTTCCTAAAAGCATGATTATCAGTAGTACATAGAATTCTCATGAGAGTAAGCTACACTTACACTATTAAATGCTATTTGCAAAGGATAAAACCCCCAAATATAACACACTATGCTCAAGTCCATGGCATTCAGTGGGTCTGTAGCAATTTCCTCCAATTGAGAGGTTAGCCATTTTATTCCAATCTGTATTAACTGCCATTCATCCTGAGTACAGATCCTTCTCCTCTGGAACCTCACATGGCTTCAGAGGCTTGTTTGACTGTGTGTTGTGTGCGTGTGTGTGTGTGTGTCCAACCTAGGTGCTTGAAGCACTCTTGTCACGCAAAACAATTTGGGATCATGTCTTCATTCTGTTTGTGTTTTCCTTTTTGAATGACTTGGCGGGGCGTAGGTGTCCAGCCACATACAGGTTCTAGCTCGGAAGAAGGTGCGAGAGTACCAGGTTGGCATTAAGGTACGTTGGAGACCCTGCCCATGCGTCCGTGGTGTGTGAGCATGGGCAGCCCCCTCTCCTTCCTCTCCTTTCCTCTGGTTGACGGCTCTGCTGTTTTTCCCCCCTCTCCTTCTGCTTTTCTCTCTGCAGGTCTCTAGCCACTTGCAGGTTCTAGCCAGACGGAAATCTCGTGAGATTCAGTCGAAGCTGAAGGTACGCGCTTCCCCGGCTTTCCCACCTTTTGAGCCATGGCCATGCTGGCAACTAACATGCTGCGCTCTGTGGTTGCCACTCTTCCCCCCCTGCTTGTTGTGTCTTTGCTCCCCTCCCTTTGTTCCTGGGACCTGATAATTTTCAGAATGTCGCTGAGGTGTGAGAGAGAATTGGAAGCGATAGAGCACTTCTGCGTGGCAGGATCTGGCAAGGACAAGCCACCTCTAAACAGTCCAGTAAAGCTGCCCCTTGTCAGCTTGGAGAGTGCATTTCCAGTCACAACTGGAGCCTTCAGGTGGTGACATAGCAAGGAGAACTTCTAGAGTTCTCCACAGTCCACCTGCCATCTTTGGTATATCCATGTAAGTGCTCCACTGTTGTTACAGGAACTGGAACCTTGCCTAAATCAGGGAAGCTGAGTAGGATCCATGGCGGCTCATGAAATGTGCAGTCGTGGTATTAAACAGCCACTTCTGCTGAGCAACAACTGAGTGGAAGGGTCCCTCCCAGTAGAGGCATAGGACAGAACACCCTTCTCCTTCTGTTTCCATTCAACAGAAGAAGCCATTTCCTTCTGCTGTGCTACTTCACTGTCTACCACTCTGTAGCATTAAGATTTTCTAGGTAGCATTGGAGCTCTGGAGCAGGTTTTTGTTTTTTTAAAAATGTTTTTCAAATAAGTTTTACTGATGTTCAGCGATGCATCAAGCAGGGCTGACCATTAAAGTAGCAGACCCAAGGCTGCAATGAAGCAAAACCAAAACACACTCCCCCACCCCAAAGCAGAAGAGCCAGACTTTTGGAAAGCATTCCGTGCTGGATGAGGATGGGGAAGTATACGGGGGGGGACCCCAAAGTTTTGTAGGTACAAATTCTGATGGATTTATGCAGCTGAGGCTCATATAGCAGGCATAGGAATTTGTGCAATCAGTGCCTCTGTCATACTTCTAGTCTATATGGCCAACAGTCTTTAATACCTAGTGGGACGTGGGTGGCGCTGTGGGTAAAAGCCTCAGCACCTAGGGCTTGCCGATCGAAAGGTTGGCAGTTCGAATCCCCGCAGCGGGGTGCGCTCCCGTTGCTCGGTCCCAGCGCCTGCCAACCTAGCAGTTCGAAAGCACCCCCGGGTGCAAGTAGATAGATAGGGACCGCTTACCAGCGGGAAGGTAAACGGCGTTCCGTGTGCTGCGCTGGCTCGCCAGATGCAGCTTGTCACGCTGGCCACGTGACCCGGAAGTGTCTGCGGACAGCGCTGGCCCCTGGCCTCTTAAGTGAGATGGGCACGCAACCCCAGAGTCTGTCAAGACAGGCCCGTACGGGCAGGGGTACCTTTACCTTTACCTTTAATACCTGGGGAGGATATTTGGCTAAGTTGGCCAGTGCAATGGTACAAGGCAATTAGGATGGAGATGCACAGAACCAGAGATGAGTGTCTTCCATCATAGGCCTGCTCTTGCTGATTCAGGATGCTTGGACCAAGAACATGGGACCAGGAGCCAAGGAAGTTGAGCAGGGATAAAACTGGAGAGCTTTTATCCTGTGATTGCCTTTCTTTCTGTGGTTGGCTTTTCTTTTCTTCTTTCTTCTGTAACTTGAGATTGGCTAACCTTTCCTATTACCCTTTCCTCTGTGTGTTCTGTGTATTGTGATTTGGGTTTTTGAGGGGGGAGGGGGGTCTTAATGAATGGTTAGTGGTTGAAGGGTATTTTGAACTGATTCTGGTTCTCTGTCTATTCTTGTGGTTTGGCCTATGCACCGGAAAGTACCTAGAAATTCCAATCTTTTCAGCTGTTCAAATTTATTTAGTCCAAAATACTCTCCCTTCCTTTTCTAGAGTCCACAAAGCAGGAGCTGCCATTACCAGGTTGGGAAAACTCATAAATAGTGTGTCGTCCCTCCCACCATGCCCTCATTCCTCTACCCCAAACTAAGAAAATAATTGGCTGGTTTATAAGAAGATTAAATTGTGTGCATAAAGTGGCCCACACCCAAAATTCAGTTAATAATAAAAACTCTCACAGTTGAAGAACAGCATGGAATGAAGGAAAATATCTTTTTAAAAGGATCTGTCCTTGTTGTCAGTAGCACACATTATATGATGACCAGATGTAACTGTAGAACACTTTTACATATATGTTAATTCTAGTCAATAGCATGCCTTCCACAAAAGACAGACAATACATTGCCTGAGAGTTAGGGCTAGCATGCTAGTCAACTGATGCTTGTTAGATTATGGCAAGATTTTGTCAAATATTCAAAGAATGCCCATGGCAGTGTTGTTGAGTTTTTAAAAATTATTATATCGTTATGGTCTCATTTGTTAAGTAGGGGAGGAGCAAATGTATCTTGCCTCCTAAGCTTACAGCTGACAGGGACAAACCTAGAAGCACATCAAAGCTTTTAATTTAAGGCATATCTGAACAGAAATGCAAACAGTCATCAGTGGTATTGCCTAGTAAGTAAAGTATCTGACGAGGGCGAGGGAGTGCTCAGAAAATAGGTTTCCCAACTCTGTCCTTGCAGTACCCTTTTAAGTGCATGCCCATAAGTTCTGCCCTGTATTGCTGAACCACTCTACCTCCAACCAGTGTGGTTTCGTGTTCTGCAATGGCAGAAGACTGGGCAAAGCAGTGGTATGCAGGTCCAGTTTACCACCTTGAGTCTTTAAAGAGAGAGCCAAAGGTAAACAGAGAAAACTGCAGAACATCTATTGGCCCATTTATCTACATCCAGGCTTAAAGGTAAAGGTACCCCTGCCCGTACGGGCCAGTCTTGACAGACTCTAGGGTTGTGCGCCCATCTCACTTAAGAGGCTGGGGGCCAGCGCTGTCCGCAGACACTTCCGGGTCACGTGGCCAGCATGACGAAGCTACTCTGGCGAGCCAGAGCCGCACACGGAAATGCCGTTTACCTTCCCGCTAGTAAGCGGTCCCTATTTATCTACTTGCACCCGGGGGTGCTTTCGAACTGCTAGGTTGGCAGGCGCTGGGACCAAGCAACGGGAGCGCACCCCGCCGCGGGGATTCGAACCGCTGACCTTTCGATCGGCAAGCCCTAGGCACTGAGGCTTTTACCCACACATCCAGGCTTAGGACTCTGCAAATTACGGTAGCCCCTCACAAATACCAAAGAATGATTTAACTACCTAGGTACTTTTTACTTCCCTTGCACTACTCTAAGAGTTATGTGCACGCAACTCAAGAAGCCTAAGCTTGTCCACATACAGCAACACACTGTTTATTTTGTATAGCTCTGCAGGCAGGAGAGTGCAGTGACCAGATCTAGTGCATTGTTTGCACTAGTAACTCTGCAATCTATAAAATAATGTTGCTTTCAGTGCCCAGACCGGCATCAGATTTGGAGAACCACAGAACAGGGCGGTCTGTTCTCACTTCCTGCACATCTTCCTTGATTTGTAAAATTGAAGAAGTTACCTATTGAGATAAGCCTCATACCATCCGCTCCTTTCTTCCTCATTCCCGTTGTGCCACGTGCCCCAGATCATCAAGTGGATTCAGTAAAACAGGCTGCATTAGAAAGCAGCCCGGGACAGATGTAGTTTGTTTACAAAATGAAGTCTGACATCCTGTGATGCTTTGAAGTCCCATTATTGATACCTGTTATGGATTATGCAGACTCCCCCCTCCCCGCAGTGCCCATTATGACAGCAGAGGCACTAACCATATTTCTTTTCTTTCCTCCCTCCTCTTCACACAGGCTATGAACTTGGTAAGTGCACTTCAGTCTTGTTTCTGCCCCATTAAGTGTTCTCTACTTGGTGATTGTCTTTATCCTTATGCTGAGTGTTTAATTTTGTTGTGTGCTGTGTGCTGCCTTGGTATCTATACTGGTGAAGGAGGGACCATACAGCTTTTAAATAAATAAATCCCCATGAATAGTATTAGAGAGCGCAGATGAGGTGCAGGGGGTGCTGGAAGTGCAAAATTAATAGCTGAGATGAGAATCTTTTGGATACTTTGGACACAAAACTGGCCAAACACCAGCACCTTAAATGGATGTTTGTGTTCTCCTCCTTTGATCTACAGACATGTTGCACTGCTCTAAAGGATCTATTATCTATGACTAGTAAGATCCCTGGAAAAATGAGCTTTGGGGGGAGGGGAAGTGGCATAAAACAGTTTGCTTGAATGGCTCACTGCTAGTATGTTTTGATAAGTCTGTGTAAAGTGGCTCACTGTCCCCCATTAATTTGTCTTTAGTGGGCCGTCAAAGCCAGTGTTAGTAACTCTCCCTTCTGCTTCTCCTCTTCTGTCCTGTTTTGAAGGATCAGGTCTCAAAGGACAAGGCTCTGCAGAGTATGGCTTCCATGTCGTCGGCACAGATCGTATCCGCCAGTGTCCTGCAGAACAAGCTCAGCCCCCCGCCTCCACTCCCTCAGGCTGTCTTCTCTGCTGCTCCCAGGGTAAGGGATGTTCCAACACTTTTCCTGCCTGGTTAGGAAGATCAGGCCCAGAAGGACGGCATGGAGTCAATGCTTCTGCAAGACAGCGGCTTCTCTTATAGGGCTAGGTGACTAACGCAGAGATGGTTCCAGAGAGGATATTTATTTATTTACTTATCTGTAGTTGTGTTCCTGACCCAATAGGCTTAGTTTAAATCAGACATCATAAGCGTAATTTACATATTCCACACCCAACATCCATGTCTCCCTAATTTTCATTTTTGCCCAGTTTACTTAAAAAAAAATAATAAAAAAACCTAACTCATGCTCTTCCTCCCAACACCTTTCACTGTCACATATGGGAATGGTTCTCCAGTTGTTGTTAAAACTCCTTTGAGACTCAGCTAGCATGGCCAACGGTCAAAGAAGATGGGAGTTGTAATCCAATAACATCTGGAAAAACCATAGGTTCTCCATCCCTGCCCTAATTCTTCTTATCTGCACATGCCATCAGCACCACCACCAAAGAGTAGCATATCTGACCCACCCTCTCCCCTTAGTGGCTCACAAGAGAGTGGAGGACATGTGCTGACTTGGTGTGAAACTCCCAGCTGTAGTCTTGACTCTCCTCAGCTGTGTTGTGGTATTTCCACACTATTCTAAAAAACTGACTAGCCGTTGCCATTCTGTAACAATAAACAACTTAAACAACCCTTTAACAACTTTGATGAACCTGAACAACTGTAGCTGTGAAGTCAGATGGTAGGAATATGCATGACAATGTTTTCTGTGTTCATTTTTTGTTTCCCCAGTTTTGGAGTGGGCCTATCCCAGGACAGTCTGGACCTTCTCAGGAGTAAGTGAAAAGCAATTGTTACGTTTGGTGGAGAATTAAAAGGCTTAGCAGTTAGAGGACGGTACTTGCATAGCATTTCTGAATTGTTCCACAGAAATAGATGCCACATTGTGCAATCTCTCTCTCTCTCTCTCTCTCTCTCTCTCTCTCTCTCTCTCTCACACACACACACACACACACACACACACAACTTGATCGCTTATGCCTCCATTTCTAACCTGCTATGTTCATATTCTTCCAAAGGGTCGACTCATGTATGCATAATTGCATGTGGGAATTGCTCCAATTCAAGTCTCATGTAGGGAAATCATTTATTTGAAAGCTCCTCCATATAGGGCCACACTGGGGGGAAAATCAGAGAGAGAGTTAAGATCAAGAGTTCTTTATCTGATGTAGTAGATTTTTGACATTACACACAATATTCATCGGGGTGGGGGGCATGTCGGTGTTTCAAATAAACAATTCCTCGACTGCATATTGTCAGGGTTTGAAGGATTATCCCAGCTGGTATCTTGAGATTCGAGGGATTGAACCTGGTACCTTGTGCATGGGAAACATGTACACAAATGGCCCTTCCTTTATTTCGCTAAGTCAGCATCTCCAGTGGGGATGCTTCACTGTTCATGTAGCCATAATAAAATGCACTAGAAACTGCAGTCACATAAACCCTCTTAAAGTAATTACTTTGGGTATCCAGAACCTCCTAAATATATTTGTTATTCTTCATAGGAAACCTCATAGCAGTTTACAAAATCTAGGTAAAGGTAAAGGTACCCCTGCCCATGCGGGCCAGTCTTGACAGACTCTAGGGTTGTGCGCCCATCTCACTTAAGAGGCCGAGGGCCAGCGCTGTCCGGAGACACTTCCGGGTCACGTGGCCAGCGTGACAAAGCTGCATCTGGCGAGCCAGCGCAGCACACGGAAACGCCGTTTACCTTCCCGCCAGTAAGCGGTCCCTATTTATCTACTTGCACCCGGGGGTGCTTTCGAACTGCTAGGTTGGCAGGCGCTGGGACCGAGCAACGGGAGCGCACCCCGCCGCGGGGATTCGAACCGCCAACCTTTCAATCGGCAAGCCCTAGGCGCTGAGGCTTTTACCCACAGCGCCACCCATGTCCCACAAAATCTACAAAATCTAGTTGTGTATAAATTTTATGAAATAATTATAAATAAAATATTTTTATTTTAAAATAAAAATGAATAATATAGTGGAATGTTTGTTGGTCAGGTTCCTAAAGGTTGGTTACATTAGGCCTGCAGATAGACTGCTCTTCTTTCTGAAATAGTGGGGAAGGCAAATGAGGGGGAGCCCTGTAATGGCTGGTGGCTGTATGTATATGAGAGGCCACCATAGAGTTACCTTGATGATTTCTGCAAGACATCTGCCCTTGGAGTAACTTAGGGTGTACGCAGTTAACAGGAACATTAACAATTTGACACACTGACTAACATACTTAACACTATTTTGTTTTTCAGCATTAAACCTTTTGCACAACCAGCCTACCCCATCCAGCCACCCATGCCTCCATCACTAGCCAGTAAGTGATTTTGTTTCTCCAACTAACTGATGCTCTGCCTCATAACATTTTCTTGGCTCCCCTGTCACCACCAGCGCCCAGTCCTGTTTATTCATACAGACAGTTCTAGCTGTTTCCTCAGGACCTCACTGAGAGCTTGAACTTTTTTCTTGGCCCAGCCATGATGGTGAATCTCTTTGATTCCATTCATAGAAACTAAATGCCTTATTGTCTATTCCAAAGGGTTGATTCTTTCCATCCTGCCATTAGCAGGTTCTCCCCACCCTCACAGAGCTTTCGGGGTGCAATTGAGATTGGGGGAAAACAGTGCAGTGGAGAGGGCTAACCATTTCTCCCTTGCTGTTGCTGGCCTAATTCAGCCCCCTTCTATGCCACTTGCTAAGCTTTTCAAAAAGAAAATAGGATGATCTACTCATGGGTTTTCCATCATCTCGCCTGCTTTGAGTGAGAGGGATTCTACCTTCACATTTGCCTAGGATGTTTCTGTATGATGGAGATGAAAGCAGACTTGTCATGGACCACCTTGTCTTCCCAACCATGGTCACATTTTGCTTGCAAGGAAATATGGCAAAAGCACTGAAATAAAATATAAATAAATGACTCTTTTTACACCTTAGCTGCTTCCAGATTTTAAAATTTGACTCAGTAAATGATGTTTTGCATTTAATTATTTGAGCAAAGCTTTTTATATTTTAACTAGCCTCTATGCTGCCCTTTGATCCCTTCATATTACCCACAGAATGTCATCTGTGAGATGGATTGTGTAGATGGAAGACAGTTTTTGTAGCAGGAAATGATGCAGTCAATCAGGAAGCCCATCTGTCCTGTCCAATGATCTTCTTGATGTTCTAAAGTAGAGCTTTCTAAACTCTGTGTCGCGACACGTTACTGTGTCCACTGCAGTGTGTAGGTGTGTTGCGCGAATGCCCCCCACGCTCCTCCTGGGGCTGGAGAGGGGTTGGTTTAACTTCCGGTTTGCTAGTAAATCCGAATTACTGTGTCATGAAATGATGCATGTCTAAAAACTGTGTCACCAACATGAAAAGTTTGGAAAGCTCTCCTCTAAAGACACCTCCATGGTAGTAGAAGGGTAGCTTCCTGGATTGCTGTAGTACTTGGGAGTTTTAAATTGTATTTTATCTAGGGAGTACAGTCTGCTTCATTCCTCATTGCTTCATCTGGAGTTTAAGAGATTACACCTTTTTTGTTTACAAACAGTCTTGCTTAACGTTCAGGGGAAATTAATCCATTTCAGTTCTCCCATCTTCTAAATGCAAGGGCATCCCAGAGCTATTACAAATATGAAATGCTTAAAAATGAAATTTGAATCATTACAATTTCAGAGAGTTCTGTTGCATTAGAACTGCCATCTGGGCAATAAGGAAGGAAATCGTCCTTGGCTTCTTGGAAGGATGGGCAACTAGGCTAGATGGGGGAGCATTAAAGGGTTGTCCTCATCTCTGCAGCTGAAACCTCCCCCTGCAGTGCTCAAGAATGTGGCAACACTTTCTTTTTTCCAGGCTACGAGCCCCTGGCTCCTCTCCCACCTGCTGCCTCGGCTGTGCCAGTCTGGCAGGACCGCACCATCGCCTCCACCAAACTGCGGCTCCTTGAGTATTCAGCGTTTATGGAAGTGCAGCGTGACCCTGAAACGGTAACTCTTAGGGGGGAAATGTTTGGCGTTGCAGGAGCTGGTGGCAATAGTGTTTTTCAGCTCTTACAGTGCATTGGGTCTCTGCAGAAAACTGCCCTCTTTTCTAACCTGCATAAAGCCTGACATTCACTTACGAGCCCCATGTAATAAATGCTGCCAGAGACTCAAGCTCTGGTCTCCCTGTGCTGTTTTGTGTAATATAGACACATATCACATTGGCTGTATTTTTACAGCCCTTTTGTCTAGGCTGGAGTCGCCAATGGCATGCAGCTTCCATCAACTGTGGTTATTACCCATGCTGGCCTGAGCTGTTGGAAGTTGGAGCTCAACATCTGGAGATGTTGGCTGCTCCTGGTCTGGATGGTGGTAGCTGGCATTAAGGCAACTGAGTTTTGAATTTTGCGGCGTCAGCAGGAGTATCTGATTCCCTTTGTCATGGCTGAATCTTTGTAGTGAAGCACGCTACCTTCCGCTCCCACATTTTTTGCCTTTTGTGTTTCCCACCCTACAGTATAGCAAGCACCTCTTTGTGCACATTGGACAGACGAACCCCTCGTACAGCGACCCGCTGCTGGAGGCAGTGGACATCCGCCAGATCTATGACAAGTTCCCTGAGAAGAAAGGTGGCCTGAAGGAGCTCTATGAGAGGGGGCCCCAGAACTCCTTTTTCCTGGTCAAGTTCTGGGTAAGAATCTTGCAGCCCAAAGCCGAACAATGCCTCTGAAAAAGCCATTATTGGGTACTTCTTCATCGGACAAGGCGGCAAAGGAAATTAGACCAGAATACCATGGTTACATTATTCTCCTATATGAATGTGGATGTTGTTTGGACGATGGGAGGGGGGATGCTTTCTGGCCTCAGATTCTCCACATCAGTGGGCAGTCACATGTTTCATGTGGTTTTGCCTGGCTTTATATGCTAAGCAGGCTTGAGCCAGGCATCTTGGTAGAAGAGCCTAAGGGATATTAAAAATGAAATGAAATTCTGAAGGGGTCTGGGGAAAAGGGTTCATCCTTTAGAAAAAGAGCTGCATTCAATAGCATGTTTTGAGGTCTAAGCAATACCATGGTATTTTTCTCTCACAAATGTTCATAGAATCATAGACTCTATAAGAGTTGGAAGGGACCCCCGAGGGGCATCTAGTCCAACCCCTTGCAATGCAGGAATCTCAGCTAAAGCATCCATGACAGGTGGCCTTCCAACCTCTGCTTAAAAACCTCCAAGGAAGAAGAGACCACCACCTCTTGTGGGAGTCTGTTCCACTGCCGAACAGCTCTTACTGTCATAAAGTTTTTTCGAATGTTTAGTCGGAATCTCCTTTCTTGTAACTCGAAGCCATTGGTTTGAGTCCTGTCCTCCAGAGCAGGAGAAAAGAAGCATGTTCCCTCTTCCATTTGACAGCCCTTAAGATATTTGAAGATGGCTATCATATCTCCTCCCAGTCTCCTCTTTTCCAGGCTAAACATACCCAGCTTCTCATAAGGCTTAGTTTCCAGATCCTTTATCATCTTGGTTGCCCTCCTCTGAACACATTCAGGCTCCCGTAGCACATACTGCAAGACCAGCTGGTGTTTTACATTGGCTTTGCTCTACCATCTGAATTTTTTAATGCCACTCTGCAGCATTCAGCCTCCTTTGGAACTGTGACTTAATATTGCCTAAATGCTGTCACTCTCCCCTGCCATCAAATCTTAAAAGCTGTTGTCGTCCCACACTAAGCATTTTCAGTTCGTCTTCTCAGCCCTTAGCTAAAAATACATGAGCTGATGTGGTCCAGCTTGGAATGTTTGTGAGACTTCATTTCAAATTCCATCTCAGCTGTGGACTTCGGGCGAGTCACCTCCATTCTCCATCTACAAAATGGGCATAAAAGCAAAGAATGGCAGTGAGGCTGAATGAGATAAGGGTTAGAAAGCAGCTTGCTATTTTTAAATACTTATGTCAATAATTAGCAGTATCACCATGAATACACTTCTCTGTTGGCACCTTCGCTCCCCTCAGTGAATGCATCCTGGAACTCTTGGGTCGGAGACCTCTGCGCCCCAAGCAGAAAGCCACAATCCGTACTTGATTTATAACACCTCCTTCCTTGCCTTTGCTCTAGGCGGATCTGAACAGCACCATTCAGGATGGTCCTGGTGCTTTTTATGGCGTAAGCAGTCAGTATAGCAGTGCAGAAAACATGACCATCACAGTCTCCACTAAAGTGTGCTCCTTTGGAAAGCAAGTAGTCGAGAAGGTGGAGGTGAGTCCTGCGCTTCCTTTGGGTCTGGTACCAGCAGGAAGGGAATGTTGCAGAGTGGGTGAAGAGCATAGCAGTTAATGTGGGACTGGAAGTTAAGTTCTTGGGAAGAACGTACAGCCCAAGGGGAAAGTGCTTTGAGACTCTTTAAGTGCTAGAAGTACATGTATAATAAGTAGCAATGCATGCGTTATCAGAATGTCAGTATAGTCCTCTCTTCCTTTCCCCCTGCTGCTTAATTATGGTTAATTAGGGTGTGCCACCTCCCCAGTTCTCCTACACCAAGCTTGAATGCCATTCGATACGCAATAATAAATAAATAAACAAATCTCTCTCATATTATTGCACCTTCAGTGGCTTCTTTGTTAGGGCCTATACCTTATTGATGCTTTTTCTGCAGACGGAATTTGCCCGGATGGAGAACGGACGGTGTGTGTACCGAATCCATCGGTCCCCCATGTGCGAATATATGATCAACTTTATCCATAAACTGAAACACCTCCCAGAAAAATACATGATGAACAGCGTCCTGGAGAATTTCACCATCCTGCAGGTAAATAACATTTTCCTTCTATCCTGAATCCTTTCCAGCTGGTGCAAGGAGTAACTTCTGTCTGGGTGTTCATAGTAGGCTTTTCATGGCTGAAGACACCAACTGGATAGTTTCAGATTTGGTCATACTTGGAGTAAAAACCCATTGAAATAAATTGCACAAGTTAGGTCATTGGTTTCAATGAGTTTACCTATAATATGACTAAATCTGGGCCTGTAGCAGCAAAAGCAGACCCCTTCATCTGCCCCACTTGTAATAAAACCTCTCTCTCCCCTATAGCTATAAGCAGGCGCTGTATCTCTCCAATGGTTTGACTTTAGGCACACTCTTCCATTGTCCCCCAAGACAGATGGATGCCAATAACCAGGATCCAACCAAAATAACAATTGCATTCCTTTCTTCCTGTTGTTTTTTATTCTACCTTTCAATGTCATGCTCATCATCTGCTTCTTTCAAGAAGGCAATGGTTTGTCATGAAGACATTTCTTATGAGGAAAATATTTTGTTCAGCACATGTGAGATTCTTTGGCAAGGACAAGCTCATGTAGTCTGTTCCTCATTTAAAGCGCTGCCCTGCCATCCATTATATGTGTTGGCTCAGTTGAGTAACTTGCTGCAGTCCTTAATCCCCACTTCAAAATATTTTCATTTGATCAGATGGGCATTTGTCTCATCCTTGCAATTAGAGAGGAGGTTAATTTTACCAGTTTCTTAGATTCATTCTCAGGTACAGAAGAACGTTATCTTCACCTCTTTGCAGGTTATAGGCAATTCGTTAAAAGTTACCACTTAAATCTTAAATCACCCCTATCTTTAGAATTGTGGCTTTGATTTTTGAGATTTTGTAATTCATCAAAGAAGTCCTACTGAAATCAAGTGGATAGATGGTAAAAGTAAAGAAGATCAAAATAATATTTTGTACTTGGGTGCAGATAACTACATCTGTATTATGCTTGTTGATTGTGATGTGTATGGTTAAATTGCAACAGGGAAAGGATCAATCTTCTGCTTCCATATTTTAAAAGAGGCGGTGGCTATTGAAATAAGCGTGCTCTTTGCAGCTGTTGCAATTTCCACCTTCCTCTCAAATCTCATTTTCATTTTGTGTCATGACTCTTTAGATAGTGATGTGCAAGCCACTCTGGGACTCCCTTTTCTGCTGAAGAGTGGGAGACATTAATTTTCTATAGAAATAAAGTACTCAGCTTCTGTACCTGAGTACAAAATACAGTATGAGAGCTCGTACTATAGGAACCCAGCTCAAAAAACTATGCCATTTCTCTGGTCTCAATGTCTGACTTGCCCAGTCCATCTTCCTGTATCTCACGGTATGTGTGTGTTCTTCTTCCCTCAGGTTGTTACGAACAGAGATACCCAGGAAACCTTGCTCTGCATAGCCTTTGTTTTTGAGGTATCCACCAGCGAGCACGGAGCCCAGCATCATGTGTACAAGTTGGTCAAAGACTAGAGGCCCCCTTGGGGTGACCGGGCAATTTGAGGAAGAAGAGAAGAAGTCTTGTCAGAGAAGCCACCCGAATAGGATGCCTTGACGCAAGTCTTTTGAAAAATGAACACACAACACACACAAAAAGCAATGCCAAAAAGACTGTATCACAATCACAGATGTTTTCTACTTAGGAACAATTTTTTTTAAAAGAAAAAAACAAGCAGAAAAGAAAAGCATGACAGGAAAGCATATAATGGAAGGAGATCTGTATCTGGAGGCAACAAGAAGGAGGACTGTTCCTGGGGGCTCGGTCATCAGTATTTCAGGAGACTATGGCGCCAAGGCCTGGTACCTCTGGATATCTCTCCCGTCACACAACACTAGAACAGCATCTAGTGAAACGAGACTGCCAACTACTTCTTAATACCTGGATGTGCCTATATATCCCGTGCCAATTTGTCCTCAAAACCTGGGTGGTTTCATTTAGAGAAAAGCGTTCTGAGAGGGCTGCTAAGGATGTCTGTTCTGGGAAGGGATGGGGAATCAGATGCTGCCTTGTTTATGTGACCGATCCCACTCTGTTCGAGACACCGACAAAGAAGAGGAAGAGTTTTCTTCCATCTCTTGACGCAGGCTGCGTGCAGAGCCAGCACAGGGAATTGGCGGCTTGCGTCATGTGGCACACATGCCACCCATGGGTTAATTGCAAGAAAACGATTTTGTTCCAACATTTTCCTGGGCATTTTGTATTGCAGGATACAGTGGTGGTGGGAGGGCGCCAGGAGTTGATTATGGCAGGAATGTGGCGCTTTTACATCCATGTCCCAGATGTTTGGATAATAGACGGGAGTAGGGTTGCAGGATCGTGTGTGTGTGCACGCGCATGTGTGCGCCAACAAGAAATGGAGAGACTTAAAGATATCTGTCTGTGGGATGTTAAAAGGTTAGAGTATGTATTAAGAGGAAGGAGGGGTGCTCAGCTGGAGGAGAGCAATTCAGGAAATCATAAATTTGGAGATTTGCATAGATTTGCAATCATAGGGTTGCAGATAAGCAGGCTGACTCTAGGTGAGCAATGAGATGACTGGAAAAATATTAGGGCTGGCTAAGGTTGAGTAACTTGGGGGGGGGGAATCTGAATTTGTATGGGATTTTTAACCAGCTCTCAATGGAGCATTATTATAACATCTGCCATGTCAAAAACAGCATGGGATAAGCTTAGACCAAAGTTCTTGTTGCCTGGGCATTGTTCTGGTAAGGTATTAATTTCCCTTCTGCTTCTCTGTTCATCTGTGGTAGTCATCTAGGAAAGGGCATGATCTAAATATCACGATGCAAGTCTTTCCTCTGGATTATGTACTTCCCACCTAGGATATCTTTGTGCAGGCTGCTAAAAACAAAACAAAAACCAAAGCGAAAATTGCATATTCTGGCAGCCTAAACCCAAGGAGGTGCTGAAAGATGAAACAAAGTACAATATGTCATACAGAATCCCTCTTCATTTGAAAGCTGTACTGTTTGCTGTTGGAAATGCTGAAGAAAGTTTCTGTGTAGGGTTTAAGTATAAACATGAGCCCCTAGACCTTAAGCTTGGAGACTAAGACAGTGGGCTTGTGATTTAAATTGGTGCTTATAGGAATCCTGTTACATGAACAGTGCCAAGATATCAGTAACCTCACTGTACGTGGCACCTCCAGGGCTCAGGCCCATAGGTTTCAGCTATACTTTGTCTAAATGCTAGTTTGTAGTTTTAAATAATAGAGGAACTAACAGAATGTAATATTTGTGCCTTCCTACCTTTCTTTTTTACCATTGAACTTTTTTCTGTTTTGTCCTTCAGCTTTCCCCTGGCCACATGGTGATTTGTTTGCTTTTAAGTTGGTTGATTTTCATTTTTTAAGAGCATTCTCCTTGCTGCTCCATCCTTTCTTTAGTCTGGTATACTCTTACTCAACCCACTCAGACTAATCTCCACCCTATGCTGCCATGGGCCTGGTGAGATTACTATGGAGAAGCCTCAAAACATTGGAAAAGGTGCAATACAGTGCAAAAGAAAAAGAAAAGCCATTTGCAAGCAAGGAGAGAATTTGAGGTTTCCACTTCTACGAGGAAATTGGAATGCACAGACTTGAGTTTGCAATTACATTTTTTTATGCTTGGGGTATTTGACTATAGCTTTAAATGGAGGTTGGCCCCCAGTGCATAGTTCTCAAGGCTGGTTGAGTTATTTTGGCACCTGGGGCAGAAAATCCCACAGGTGCATCTTCCCACCCCTGGCAATAAATACTATAGTAACTTCACATGTTTCTGCCGTTTTCATGACACCTCAACACACCTGCCTGAGGAGACCATTTCACTCCACCTAATGCTAGGACCAGATCCAATTTGTAAGAAGAGATTTCACCACCAGGATCATTTTCATAGTGGTATCAAGATTTGTGCAAAGAGATTCCCAAAGAGACAGTGGAAGGGAGCTAGGAATTCAGAGTGTGTTGGCTGCAGGCAAAAATATCTGTTAAAAACAGATTGTGGTGACGCTGAAGTACTGGGTGCCTTTCATTGGAACATAAGGGTCAGGTTAAAATTTAGAGCTCCTCCCTTCTCCGTTGTCTGCCTTAGAAGGTAGGAGATAATGTAATGGAGATGCCTCGTAAAGTCTTGATGTCTGGCTTTTCATAACTGACTTGGGCCTCTCCTTCAGGCCTGGCCTGTATCACCACTGCATTGTTGATTTAGCACCCATGTTTCGACTGTGGATGAAGGACTAAGTACAAAGGCATTGGCTAACTCAAACTTAAGTCTGGCCAACACAGACTAAGAATGTTCCCAGGATCCTTCGGACTGCCGTTTGAGTACAACATGCAGCTGAGAGGTGACACCATGAGAACAACTGACAGAATGGTTTCCCAGCTTTTTGAAGGACATTTATAATTAATGTAATAATTTTTTTCCTGTGAAGTGTTTTTAATTGATGCCACCCAAGAACTTCTGGAAAACTCCACTAGAATGTTGAAATGAACACTCCTCTGCGTGTTATGTGGGACCCCTGAGGTGGTAACTCTAAGGGGAATGGTACGTGGGGACTGGTTTGGTAGAGCAGTAAGTCACAAATTGCTCAGGAACAGTGCCTTATTTTGCAACACATGTTGCACTCTTGGGGGATGAGCAACAGGTGCAGAAAGTTCTAAAAATCAGTTGTAATCTAAATTCAGGTGAGCACATCCTCTACCCCCTGCCTCCAATGTGATAATCCTACTGCGTTGCCTCTGGCAAAGCTGATGGTCTCATGCATCTCTGTGTGCGATGTTTTGGGCAAACTGGTCTCTAGTGCCACAACTCTTTCTCCAGTGTATTATTACTCTTAGGAAGAACTGGCTACTTTGTAAAAGCCAGCTTGAAGTTCAGGTACGTTTCTGAGACCCCTGTGCATTGGGCGGGGGGAGAGGTACAGCGTCCTTGGAACTGAATAACAGTTATTGCTATTCTAGTGGGAGGAGGTAGAGTTAAAAGAGACAGGATGTTGAATTGCTTATGATTACAGCCAGAGCCTCTGCAGCTGTAAGGAGAGGAGAGCTGGCTAGTTTATATGTAGCATGTTTATTTTCATTCCTAGATCAAAAAACTCTGGGAATTAAGGTTAAAACCTTCCCTGTTCTCCTTAACCTATGTACAATAGAATTCCCTTTTCTGCTAAACATACTTTTTTAAGGGAGGGCATATATAAACCCCTGGGGCAGAGACTTCAGTGTACAACATGGGGAAAGTGGAGCAGAGCCTTAGTCTTGCCTAAACCCCAACTTTCTTATATAAAAACTGTTTCTTGTATTTTATCCACAATCTTTAACCCAGCTGGAGCCTTTGGAATAAACCTCCTCCAAAACTGGCCTATGTTACGTTTCTCACCTTTCCCCTTTTCAGTCCATACCATGCCATACTTTCAGTGCAACATTTAGTTAGATCCATTCCCCAGCCTTCCTGCTTGTAGAATCCCCTGCGCAGGCCACAAGTCTGTGAGCACAAATAGACCTACAAACCACTGCCCACCTGGGTGTCCCTCAGAGAATGGCAGCAAGGCTAAAGAAACGCCAGCTTCACGAATCTCTCTTAGTTGGACATAATACTGGTACCCAAAAACTCAAGTCACCAAGTCTCATGTCACCCCACATCCCATGTATTTATGAATTTCACATGAAGTACTGTTTTATTTTTTTAAAGACTTTGTAAAGCTTACCAGGGTTATGGTCACCTTTTTTAGAGCTCTGTCAGTCCACATTGTAAAACCATTTTTATGTATTATATTTTGTGTATTTTTTTTAATCCAGCTGTGATGGGTTGTATCATATATTGTTGTGTTTACTGTATGTCCATCTTCAAGTAGATGAGACAGTGGAGCTTCTAGAAAGCTATGGTCTGCTGAAAACTATTAAACTTATTTGTTCATGGGTTGGCTCAAACACCTGTTCGCATTCTTCCCTTTATTTTCTCTTGTATGTTCATGAGCATTGCACCAGCAATAAGAAGCTGCAATTGGATCCACCTCATCAGCCCCTATCAGCAGAGGTCCTCCACAGGGACTTGTGCAACTGGGCACTCTCCTCCCCATGTGCTCCCCCCACGTCCTCTAAAATTGGGGGAGGAGTGTCAGGAAAAATTCCACATGGGGAGACGGTACGGCGTATCATTTCACCTGACAAGCTGGATGCTTGCACAGATTGAACGATGAGAAGAGTGCAGCTTTTAATTCCACCACTTGTCCATAATGTTTTACCAGGCCATAATCTACACTGGTCTGTGTATTTATATATGTCTACAATCTCACTGGGTGAGTGGGGGATTTTGTATTGCATTCAGCCTTCATTTGTGTAAATAGCTGTTTTAAAAAATAATAATCGTGTTTAACATCTGCTTTGTGACTGTGAAGTTATGACTGGTAGGATTTCAAGTCTGGCTTTCATACTTGGGAGTTAATTTGCTGAACCCAGTTTGGAAGCAATACTACTGTGTTCAGTCCAAACGTACTTTTCTTTTCCGAAGCTTACAGAACTGGCACTCCGTGAAGTCATCAAGAAGCTTTCCCAATCCCCAAAGCAATTTGCACTGTTTTGTGAATGTGTTCTGTTTTAAACATTTAAAAACTGCCAGCTGCCCAAAGGGAAATTGCAATGCTCACAGCTGAGCTGGAGTTTTGACAGACAAATAAGCCAGTGAATCTGGCAGATTGCAAAGGTGTGAGGGATAGGCTCACAGCTGTTATTCATATGTTCTTCATTTACCACTTCTCAAAATGGAAGCCATGTATATTTTGCAAAACGTATGTTTGTGTGGGTGTGTGAAATAAATAGAAATGTGTTTGGATAATAATACATACTAGCTTCAAAGTATGCAGTTACAGTGTGACTGGTTGCATTGAGATGATCCTTTGTGGGCTTGACTACTTTCCTCCCCTCACAGATGTACATTAGTTTAATCAAGCCATATTTTGCCACTTACATGCAACTATAGAGTTTGAGTGAGCCATCCAAATTAGAATTGTAAACTAGTTTGATCCTGGTTTATTAAGGCTTGCTGAAACCATAGATTTTAGGCTGGATGTCATAGCAATCCATGGTTTGATTAGAACAGGGAGTAATGCAGAAGCTGTTCTCAAAAGGGGAAAAAGAAAGTGGGGAAGAAGAGAGCCCTCAAGCATATGGTTTGTTCCTAATCCTCCAAACCATGGTTTGAATGCAGACAGTGTCATGGAATTTCACTGTTGGAATATCTGAATTTTACTGTTTGGTCCCTTGGTGGTATGAGGGTTTATTCAAGTGTTTATGTTCACCTTGAACAATAAAACAGCCACTCTGACAAGCTAAAGTATGAACTCTGTTGCTTTGAATCAGCTCTCAGTCAACAGATCAAACAGTACTTATGGTCTTGGTATGGGGGAGTGACAAACAGGTGCCAGCAAAGAGAGAGATTAAGAATATGGATTCTTAGGTTTCAAGCAACCCAACCACTGGTATGTCTTTGCATAAATGGGCACAGGAATAAAGAAATAGTTTATGTCAAAAGCAGCATCCTTTCAGTAGACATTGTTTCGAAAGGGCCTCCTCTCTTGTGAGAGCAAGAAGAGAAATACCTCTTCAAGGAGGGTTCCTGCCAGCTGTGTATTCTGTGAGTACTTCCAGTGGTGCCATTAGGGCTGGGTTTGAGGGTCCAAGTCAGGGCCAGGAAAGATAAGAGAGGTGGATGATGGGAGGTGGGCATATCTGGAGCTCAACAGCAGGCACTTCCCTGGGCAGGTTCATATGTGGAAAGGTGATGCTCTAGATATAGTGTTTTGAGCCATGTAAAGCTTTGAAGCTCCAAACCAGCACTTTGAATTGCAGCTAGAAACAACTTGGCAGCTAGACATTACAAGTGGTTCTTTTACTATTTTTACTTCGAGTATATACTCCGATGTTTCTACAACAAAATGGTGCTAGTTCCCACACAAATGCATTTAACTTCAAGGCAACAGAAGCAAACTCCATTTACTCCTGTAATCACTATGGCACTATAAGTAAGTTTCAAATGTGAAACTGACTATGCTCAGAATTTCTTCTAACCAGGGTGACAAACTCTGTTTGTTGTTGTTATGCTAGCACAGGGGCTCTTGAACTTCCTACCCTCAGGGCCCACTTGTGAGCCTGGTTTTCAACCCTTTCGAGTCACAAAATTATGTAAACTTCTATTGAAGCACGGTTTGGGGTACTTAACAATAAATGCCTGAAAAGCTAATGGGCTTTAAAAAAAACCCCAACACTACAACAACCCACCAACTAAGGAATGCTGTGTTATTTTTTTGTGTAATTTCCAAAAGCAGGCTTCTAGTGATTGACAAGTGAAGATGCGCCCGCGCTCACTCACTCTCGCAAGCACAGCCATTTTCTGCCGTGCTTTCTCATATTTCTTTCTATTGCAACCGCTCTTCGCGGAGGCAGCGCAGTTTTTAATACTTTTCTGCAAGTTCTTCAAAAGCACAACAGTTGCCGACAGAAGAGGTTGCGGGCACCGGCCGCCCCAAAGCATTTCGGTACTTGCAGTCCTCCCTTCTTTTTTTTAAGCCCCCACTTAGCGAGCACTTCTCCTTTCCGAGCCGACAGCGCCACCTCCTGGAACTTGTAGTTCTTCAGGGCAGGAGGCGCGCCTTGAAGATGAGGCTGCTGCGCGGAAGGAGGCCTACAACCCCCGAGATGCACTGCGCGCCTTACGGCTAGAGGCGAGGCTGGCCCTCTTCAACTGCGGGAATCCTGCTGCTGCTGCTGCTGCTGTTGCCGGCTAGGCAAGGTCTCCGCGCCAAGAATGAAGTGAAGGGAAGCAAGAAGTGGCCTAGACAGCGTCTCCCGCCAGGTGCGTAGTGGCTCTCGAAGACTCCCCCAAACCCCCTATGCGCGCCCCTTTTTCTTCTTTCCAGCCGCGCCTGGTCTTGCTCTGCCATAACCGAAACTCTGCCTGAGCCGGCAACTCTCGCCTCGGAGCGATCGATGATTTAACATAGTGGATCGATAAAGTGCGCTGCTGGAAGACTCCCGCGAGCGCCAAGCGCTGCGCTCGGAGATCGACTTGGGATCGAAGCCCGGAAGACACGCTTAATTATGGCTCCTTCCCGTGGGACATTTCAGGTTATATAGGGCTTAAGGGAAAAGATCCTAAAGCGCAAAGTCGCCTTCCCTTTGGGGAAATGCGGCCAAGAGAAGGGAGCGCAATCCGGGGAATTGATCTCAAGCTGCCACATTGTGTTAGTGTGATTTAGGGATTTGTTTTGCTTGGCCTGTTCTCTCTCTCTCCCCCCCCCTTTAATCTCTTACTATTTTGCAGCCGCCTTGCGTTCTTCCTTCCTCCGCCCCCCCCCAAAAGAAACGGGGAGTGTACGCATACTAGTAAATATATGATTTTAAGGCAATCTTCTCTTGGCCTGGGATGCTTTGACAGCTAATGCGACTTTATTCATTTGCATGGGAACCTGTGGCCTTCCCGGTGCCATTGCACGACAGCTCCCATAATCTCTGATTATGCTGTATCCAACAGCACACATTGACCATCTCTGGATTTTGCCTGCCTTTACAGATATGTGCATACACTCTAGTCTCTCATATTGTCTCCGATTCTTCTAAAGTTAGTCATAACTACACCTTGTTAGTACAGAGCCATCATGCCTAGTAGTCGTCAGTGGCCTTCTGGTTCATTAATTTTCCTAGGCTCCTTTTGGAAGCTGTTCAAGTTAGTGGCTGATACTTCATTCTCTAGTCTAACTATGGACTGTGTGTAGTTCTTCATCTTGTTTCACTATTCAGCCCCATTGGATGTGCCTGGGTTGTACTACTATTAAAAGAGGAATGAAATATTATTTCTCCAGACTCTTGAGTAATGTTATAATTTTGCTGTGTCCCTCCCCTTTTACTCAAAAGCTCTAAATGTTATAACCTTCCTTCATATGGAAGTTGCTCCACCCCCTTGTCATTTTGATTGACCTTTTCTGAACCCCTTCCAGCTCTGCAGTATTTTTAAGATGCAGCAACCACAACTTGAATGTATAGCCTAAGATAAATTAAAACTCTGCTCCCTAAATTCCAAGAATGTAAAAAGCTGCTGAATGGATGCCAGATCGTTTATTATTTTGAATCAGAAAAAGCTTATTAGCAATTAATTTATGGGCCTGTGGATATTGATACTCATCTGTGCTAGTGTGGACATTTCAGCACTCCTTCATTCCCCCTCTGTTTGTTCCAGTTTTTTTGTTTGAATTGGTGTTGCTTCTCTTGTTGCCAGCTTCTTATAAGGAACTTGTGTGTAGGGGATTACATGAATACCCCTGGGAGGTAGGCACATGACAGTCTTACTTGTGTGTAAGTCATTGCATGCATGAAGAAGCTGTGGTCTGTTGTAGTTCCACAGCACAGCTAGCAAATAGGAGTTGTAGGACAGTTTCATGCTTCAGACTGAACACAGAAATCAATGAACATTTGCAATGATATGCAGTGGTAATCCTGACACCTGCATTATGCAGTTTACCACTGCTGTGTATTACCTAAAGCATCCTTGCTATAGACTGGAGAAATAAAGGCAGTAAATTTTCGCCGAGAAGCACAAGGGAAGTGCTGTACTCCCAAAGCTCTTGGGGATAAGGCAGGCTCAGTATGAACACATTGGGAGCTGGGTGCTTACACATAAATTGAACAATAGATTGGCATATGTGTTTTACAATCTGCTCAATCCTTACTTACAGGAAATTTTCAAATTATGGTATTTTAATGTAATGTAAGGGACGCGGGTGGCCTCTGTGGGTAAAACCTCAGCGCCTAGGACTTGCCGAGCGCATGGTCGGCGGTTCGAATCCCCCGCGGTGGGGTGCGCTCCCGTTGCTCGGTCCCAGCACCTGCCAACCTAGCAGTTCGAAAGCACCTCCGGGTGCAAGTAGATAAATAGGGATCG